TGTCTTTGAGGTCATTGTGTTCCGACCTAGATCCAGCGGACTTGTATTTCCTCTTAATCTTGTAATGATGGGGGCTTTCACCCAGATCATTAATCTCCGACCTGCATACAGTCTTCACGCTGTAGCATCAGTAGGGCTTCTTCGGTCGCGGGTGAATGTATCATATTTTTAGTCGCCCTAGATCACCCAGAATACAGGTTGAATACAAGAGAATCCACGTGTGACTTGCGTATGGCCTGAAAAGAACTTGAACACAAATTTAATATAGTTGGGAGAGAAACATTGTACGCAGTTCTACTTGAATTTGGTTTATCCACGAAAATACTTAAGCTGGTTAAAGTATGTTGAAATGAAACAGCCCGTTTGAGTAAAAATTTACGTGACGCATTTCCTATGTAGAATTGTAGCGATTATGAAGATATGTTATCGCTATTGTATTTCGGCTCAGGTTTAGACAACATCATTAGGCAGATTCAAGAGATTGAGGAGTCACTGAGATTGAATGGGGCACACCTGCTTCCGGTGTATGCTGATGTTGATTTCATGGATTCATTCATCAGTAATCTTGTCAAGACGACAGGCCCACAGTCTCTTCCAAAACAGTTCCTCCACTTGATGCGATCTAGAGCTTTCTCCTTCAAATGAAAATATCCTCTTCTGTCCCCAAGGTCATCCAGCATCTTGTTACGTCTTCTTCCTCGTCTTATGGTCACTTCTATCCGCCCCTCTATCTTTCCTTCAATAACTGGGCGAAAAATGTGAATACCATAAAGAATAATACAGAAGCTTTATTAGGCTCTTTGGTAAGTCAGTAGTTTGATCTAGAGAAAACTAGGATGGATCTGTGTTCGTGTCCCATCCCCAGAACGCAGACAAATCCTTCGAAAACTAGGCGAATTTCAGATATATGGGGGCTACAGTAACTTACTCATGGAGCTGAGCCCTTCTTCAGGAGCCGCCAGTTCTGCTGCTACTCAAGAATTTCCCAGCATTTTATGGAACCCGAAGGTTCATTACCGTGTTCACAAGAGCCGTCCACTGGTCCCTATCCTGAGCCAGATCTATCCAATCCATACCATCCCATCCTATCTCTCCAAGATCCATTCCAGTATTGTTCACCCACCTACGCCTTGGCCATCCCTGTGGTCTCTTTCCTTCCGGCTTTCCCACCAATATCCTATACGCATTCCTCGTCTCCCCCATTCGTGCTACATGCCCTGCCCACCTCATCCTCCTTGACTTGATCATTCTAATTATACTTGGAGAAGAGTACAAGTTATGAAGCTCCTCATTATGCAGTTACAATAACAGATCGAATTAAATTCACGAATAAGTTAAGAGTAGATTAGACATGAATAAGGAGAATGTTTGCTACTATTAATTTCAGAGCCTCATGTCTTTGCGTCTAGCAATAATTAAGTACACAGAAATTAAATATCTTACCGTAGGCCGTGTCTGATGGAAGGGGAAATACATGGCCGTCGGCTAATTAACCTGTGCACGGTCCTCAGTATTTTATGAGATAACGAAAAAAAGACCGAAGTGAACGGAGAGGTTCATGGAGGTAGGCCTAGGCCCACTGGGGCTGTAGTGCCAAAGAAAAAAAAAAAGAAACAAAGAACCTCATCCTGTAAGTTTACTTCGCATGGCACCTAGCTGCATGCTTAAATAGAGTTTTCCCTTATACATAGGCCTCATGTCGGAGACACGCGGAAATGTAGTTGGTTGAGGCACTATGCTACAAGCCGGAAGGTAGCGGGTTCGATCCCCGCTGAGGTCGTTGAATTTCTCAACTGATGTAATCCTTCCAGCCGCATTATGGCCCTGGGATCGACTCAGCATCCAACAGAAATGAGTACCAGGAATCTTCTTGGGGGGTAAAGGGCGGCCGGCGCGTAAGGCTGACAACTTGACCGCCATCTGTGAGCCGATTGTCTAGAAAATGTGGGAGCCTCAACGTCTCACAACCATATGGGCCTCCACACAAGGATAACTTTACCTTTACCTTTTTATAGGCCTAATGTCATAGTAGAAGCTTAGACTTTACCGATTCATGGAGTGCCTGCTGTCTGACATGATAACCCATTCAGAGCCCGGACGAAGCTGCCGTTCATTAGTACACAACTTCCTAAACTTGAATTACTCATATTTGGCCATGAAGCTGTTACCAATTGAGAAGTATTGGTGCTTTGAAAAAATATCAGCTTAAATTATAATTAGACATTAAATAAAAAAAGTCAAGAAACGTGAAGGGACGTGAAAAAAAGGTAAACCAATTTTAAGTATATTAAACATAAAGTATGATTATATTTCCTTCCTTTAATTGTAGAGACCATTGCTAACAGTGAAGATAAGTAGACCCGCAGAGATAAGACTCAATAAGGGCCGGTTTCCATTCCCCTTGCAAAAGTAGCCAGTACTGCTCATGAGCTTATAGCTTAAATGTGTTTATCTTCACTATACACGGAAGGCATATAGAATTTTTTTTTCTGTTGCGCTACAGCCCCAATTTGGGCCTAGGCCTACCTCCATGAAACTCTCCGTTTCACTTCGGTTTACTAGATCTTACACATTCGGTAGGACTCCTTGGGCGGGTGATCAGCTCGTCGCAAGGCCTCTACCTGTAAACAAACACAGAAAAACGCACACAAACATCCATGCCCTGAGTGGGATTCGAACCCACGATCCCGGCTTCCGAGCGAGCGAAGACAGTACATGCCTTAGACCGCTCGGCTACCGTGACCGGCCATATAGAAAATAGTTACTATAAACTGGAGTATTTGTATATATTCTGCGTCTGTTTTGAAACGCAGCGGTGTTAGATCTGTCATCAAGCGCGTTGGCAGAGCAGTAGTGTAACTTGCATGCTGGAGATTCCTGATTCGTATCCAGGCTCTGTCCGAAAGTATTTCTCCATTTTCCCTATTCTCTCCAGGAAGTGTCTTCAGGTAGGCCGCATGCTCTTCCTCCTACAGGCTGTCTTGCGCGCTTTGTCATCCGTAATCATTTTACTGTGTATTGCGAGACGTGATAACTGGACGAGGTTCGAATAGAATTGGAGCGTTGCAGGTACACAAACACGTTCTTTGCATTCTGAAGGTACGCCCAACCTTGCGAATACCGAGAAGGTAGACGTGCATTAAAATATGCAGTGACCGCATTCTTCCGCGTGCCCTCTGATTCATAATTCGCATTTCCTTTTCTTGTTCATTGTTGCTTAATCTCACTGAAATGATCATTATTTGAGCCATAGCCATCCTTAGAAGATTCTGGCAGGTAAAGTTACCCCTGTGCTTAACTAATTAAGCAGTACGCCATGAAGGCGTAAGGGGACTGGATTTGTAGACCCACATTTTCTTGACCTTCGCACTAGCTGAAGGTGAGTTGTCAGCTTCACGCCCCTGCCGCTTTGCCCCCGGGGAAAGAACCCCCGATACCCGTTGGATTGGAGGTTGGGTGGACCCCAGAGCCGGTCTGGACGCTATGAAGAGGAGAAAATTTTTGGCCCTACCTGAACTCGAACACCGACCACTCGGTCGTCCAACCCGTAGCCAGTCGTTAATACCGACTTAGCTGTCCCGAGATTCTGCCAGACTTTTGTAAATTAGAGCATTCGGTTTTCACTTCTTTGGATTTCGCAACAGCATTTTTTTTTTCCTCAGCAAGGTTGTCGGCATTGCGTCCAACCCCCAACGTGGAGGACCAGGTCCCTGTATTTATGTCCCCCAGTGACAGGGTGGCCCGGTTATACCCCGAGGAACCGGGTTCCCGTTTCGTCGCCTTCTGTGACTCTCAGGGCTACAGTTGAGTTACTGCAACCCGCCTCAAATCCGGACTAGTAACCGATATTCTGCTTCAAATTCTGGAGGTCCCGGAGGCCAGTGTTCCCTGCGACTTTTTCGCTCTTTTCACAGTTCTTCCAGTCCTAACCTCTGTATGACATTATACACGCCTTTATCTCTTTCTTTTACCCGTTTTATAATAATTCTTTACCTGTCATTCCATTGTTTATAACACTGTGTTTGTTAGTTGCTCACCTGGTCAAGGAAGTTCCTGCCTGTGTGGAACCCGAAAGTTATTACTGTGCTCACGAGATACCGCCACTGTCTTCTATCGTGAGCCCGTTGAATGCAGTCCTCATATTCACACACTGTTTCTCCAATATTGACTTTAATATAGTATTGCGTCTACGTTCACATTTTCTTGCCCTCGACACTAGCTGGCGGTGAGTGGTCATCTTCACGCCCCTGCCGCTTTACCCCCGGGGAAAGCTCCCTGTACCAATTGGATAGGAGGTGGGTGTATCCCAGAGCCGGTCTGGACGATTTGGAGAGAATTCTTGACCTTACCCTGACTCGATCTCCTGGGAAATTCTTGAGTAGCTGCACAATTGGCGGCTTCTCAAGAACGGCTCAGCTCCATGAGTGAGTGTTCGTGTCTACGTCTAGGCATTCAAGTGGTATCTTCCCTTGAAGTGTCCAGGCAATACTTTTTGTGCATCACTCATCTCCCCCTGTGTATGTTACACGGCATCCCCGACCACTTGCATTTATGACCCTAATAATATTAAGTGAAGAACACGCGTTGCGATTTACTTTCAACGTTTTTGACGATGGTGTGACACTAATTAAAACAACTATTTTGATCTTTGCCCATCTTCCGAGATTTTTTAACTCCCTGCGTTTCAAAAATAGAATTTCCGAAACTTCATAGTTTTAATAAATTGGGACGGTGGACAGGGAAATAATAAATAAATTTATACTATTTGTGAAGTTCCGCGCTATGTTCTCTCTGTCTTTCTCGTACCTACTCTCTTTGATAGAGATGTTTTCCCCAACACTGTATTAAGGATTATCCTCAGTGTTTGATCTTCATTAGAGTGAGAAACCAAGTTGACAGATTGTTGTTAAATAAAGAAATAAATAAAAGGAACAAGTTAATGTATTCTTCATCATGTAGAAACGAATTGCTGCAATTGGGCCTGTTATGTCCTTTTTCAGATGTACTGTCGTGCTCTTCAACCCAAAGAAAAACCGACAGAGCCATCTTCTCAACAGTTCACGGAAGACCATAACATGCCTCGCGTTCTCTGCAGATGGACGTTACTTGGTGACGGGAGAATGTGGACACTTACCCTCAGTGAGGGTATGGGACCTCCAGGAAGGAGGAGGGACCCAGATTGCGGAGTTCGCGGGTCACAAATACGGGATCAACTGCGTCGTAAGTATATCTTAATTAAGACTCCGAGTCTTGACGGACTGCGAACTGGACGACTAGGAGTCGAATCTCGTCGGTGGCTGTCTGAATGACCACGCACAGAACTGCACAGATTATCATACGGGCTCCTATCCGATGGGAAAGCCAAGGCCCCCTCTAGGATTTAAAGTGACCGCTCCTCAGTATAGTTCCCATGCTAAGGGTTCTTGTATCTTGACCTGATTAGTTGCCATACACTTATGCACTCTTATTTTGGAACAGGATTGGTTCTTGTATATACTAACTGATTAACTCAGGCCCCACCATAGCTCAAGCGGTTAGTCGCTGGCTTCCCACCGTGGCGGCCCGGCTTCGATCCCGGGTCTTGTCAAGTGGGATTTGTGGTGGACAAAGTGGCGCTGGAGCAGGTTTTGTCCGAGTACTTCGGTTTCCCCTGCCAATCTTCATTCCACCAAATTCCCCATCATCGTAATCACCCGGGGCAGGCTACAATAGGCTAATCAGTGGCGGCCGTGCAGAGTGGACCCAGTTGGACCCCACCCCCCACTAAGCAAATTAAAAAAAACTTGCTAACTCCATGGTGCTGTATCCTTGAGAATCCAGTCGTTGCTCGGCTATTCAAGAAATTCCCAGAATTTTGTGGAACCTGAAGGTTCATTGCTATATTCAAAGAGTCCGCCACTCGTCCCTATCCTGATCCAGATGAATCCAATCCACGCCCTCCCATCCTGTCTAAGATCCATTTTCATATCATCCACACATTCATGTGTAATTTACTGATATTATTACTAAGAGTTTTAGTCTTCGCGTTGAGATTTCAGGCTTTGGTTATTCTTTGTTTAAGTGTTAGGGGAAACGGTATTGGCCGTACGGACGACTCTCTGAATCCCACTATTTTGGCCTTGTCGCGTCCAGCACTTGCGTTTATATTAATATTTCGGCATAGTTTTGTTTGTTTTATGATCGCAGTAGCCTATTTTATTTTTCTTNCCGGTTCTCACGGTCTCTTCGCTTGCAGATTTCTTATATTTTTTCTTCTACCCTGAAGATGGAGGCGATACGTTCCTCCGAAACGTCGGTTAACACCACATATACACTGTGCCAAATCCCAGAAGACTGCTTTCTTCAAAAAATCTTGACTTTGAAGAAAGCAGTCTTCTGGGATTTGGCACCGTGTATATGTGGTGTTAACCAACGTTTCGGAGGAACGTATCGCCTCCATCTTCAGGGTAGAAGAAAAAATATAAGAAATCTGCAAGCGAAGAGACCGTGAGAACCGGTAAAAGCAGACTTCACCGCCGTGAAAGCCTCAAATCTTACAATGTTGACTTTGTATGAACATGGACGACTGATCTTTCATGCATAAACGAAGTAAATGCATGTTGATGAGGTTATGTCTTGCAGGGTGCGAAACATCAGTATAATGTGTCCATGTTGACCAGGGCATGGTTTACACAACCAGGAAAGTGGTGTCAATTAAGGGGGGTATCAATTTCCACTCACTGGAAGCGAAATTACTATATCCGATCCACTGGTACACAAATTAGATGCAAAGTATACAGGAGACGTAATCGCCAAAATATATCTCATTCCGTGTGCAGGAGCATGTAAAGGGTCTGAAGTATTGCATTAATACACTCGAGAACCTCTCACCTTTGTATTTATGTACGTGACATCATAGTGAGACGCATTTTTACTCCACTACCTGCAGACATACGTATTTATGTGGCCTTATGCAACGACAAATTGTGCTTGCTTAAGCTTAAACTAAACTTGAGACATCAGCTCTGTCCGTGAGGCCTCAACAGATTCTGTTTAGAATTGCGGGTCACCTCTAGAAACTGTTATCCAGGATGGGAATCGAACGAGAGTCGAAGTATGTACTCTAGGTTCGCGTACGTACGTTTGTAGGCATTGTGCACACGTGTTCGAGATTGTAGTTTATTTATTGCAAATGCAAATGCATTTTCATACCCAGGCAGCAATTCTGGGAACCAAGCTGAATTGGTTGTCGCATGAGTTTGGCAGCAAGCAACATGTAGAAGCTGTTGCGAAACTATTCACGTTATGCAGAACCTTCTTTTCTTTTTTGTCGTTGCTAATTTGCATACCTTTTTTGGCCTTCATGTTCGTATATTGTTCATACACATCTGTTATGTGATATGCAATTATAAGCCGCCTCTTTGGTCCAGTGGTCAGAGTTCCTGACTATAGCTCCAGAGGTCCGGTTTCGATTCTTGGCGCTACCAGATTTTCTGAGAAGTAGTGGGTCTGGAACGGTGTCCACTCAGCCTCGTGAGGATAACTGAGGAGCTATTTCAAGGAAATAGCGCTCCGGTCTAGAGAACTGAAATTAACGGCCGTGGGGATTCGTTGAGCTCACCACGCGACACCCTCTATCCGCTAAAGTTGACACTAACTTCGCCGACAAGCGGCGGTCGCTTGGTCGGTATAGTTCGCTTGCGGACTGCAGGCCACGGATATATGCAATTATACTTCTCCAGCCTGACGCTATTATTGAAGTTACAGAATTATCTAGCGAATAATATGGGAAGAGCGTAGAGAGAAACTGACCCGAATTTGTGACGGTACCGAATTCAAATATTAGGAATGGCGAAATTTGTTGTGAAGTTGTAACCCTGTGGTTTCTTACACGTTCACCCCAATCCGATAGTTACGAGTAAAAGTTTCAAGTAAGGGTTAGAACTTCTAGCGATTAACCAAATCTGTATTTTATGTTGTGTATAAATTTCTGGCGCGATAAACTATTTGTGAGGAAATAGATTAAGTTCGATTTAACCGTCGCCTAAATAGACATTATATTTGGCTGATACTGACGAAAGTTAATTTGGCTGGATAACACTAAATGTAGGCACCAAGTACCAGATTTTCATAGAAACCCGAGCAGTAGTTTCAGTTAGTCATGGTGTTCATGCAGGGATAGTACATCAAGCAAACTGCGACAGTTTTCTCCCATATCCTTCTCAGCCCTTTCACTCGTCAGTCTTCCAGTTGACACCATGCAGTCTGAGCCTCTGACACCGTCGCTAAGTAGACGAATAAATACACCACTTTCCGTATGCGCATTCGATTTGTGGGAAGAGAGCATGCAAAAGACTGAATAACACATGTTGTAAGCATAGCTACGTACGTGCTTGTAGTAAGGTGTTCACAATACCGTATATACGTAAGGCTTTGTAAGTCGTGCGCCAGTTGGCAGTGATCTCCAGTTTAGCCAATCACAGCGTCCCATGTGTATGTTCTTACAAGTGATGTAGTATGTTCACTGTCCAGCGGTTTCGTCATCGGCCGATGATGCTGTCTCCGAGATACGTAATGGAATTATTGTAGACCTGCACAGAAAACCTTTGTCGTACTGCTGTGCTGTTAGTTATTCTGACGTTTAGATGACAGAACTGAAGCTGCCATTAAGTAACCACAAAAGCCCAAGCACGTCATGTTGCCTATGATTCATTTGTGCTACTGCAAATACTGGAGTCTAGTAATTATCATACTTTCACAGATATTTAAACGGTATATGAAATGAGGGCAAGTGGTGCTTTGTATACACCCTGGGAATTATAATCGCTCTTCACTTCGCCCTTGAAGGTAGTCGCATGGTTACATGTTCTGGCCACGCAATCCAGTCATTAAATTCAGATCCCAGATTGTATTACACAATATTTGTCAGAGTCGCGAATTAAACATCAATTCAGTATATTGTTACTTAGGTCAATATGATTTATTTAGTGTCAAGTTAGTGTCTGTCTGACGTTTCGAACGTTCGTCGTTGCATTAATCACTCACTTGGGTTCGAACCCAACCACTGTGTCTAAAAGAAAATACTGTGGTAGCCAGAAATATGAGTAGGGCAAACTCCATCGCATATATACGTCGTATGTAGTGTAAATAAGAACTTGAGTTAGTAAACGATGCCAAACACGGTGATGGTAGTGCATGCAGTGTTGTTTGCACATAGAAAAGTGATATCTTGGCTTCTTAGGGGTATATGTATTTTTCGCCGTTTAATGGCGATTGAACTGAGGAATTCTTGGCACCAGTCGGCTTTCATTCTATAATTAAACGACAGCACTTCGTGCGGATTACATTTAAATATTAAGTGATTCTTCTTTTTCCTCGTGCCTTTCTTTCTATTTTCCCGTTGCCTTTTGAGAGTAGCTAGAAGCAAAGCCAGAGGCGTGAGCCCCGCCCAAGAACTAGCTCAGGATAACGTCCTGGGCTCACGAACCTTGCACATCGCGTGAGCAGTGAGGAATGTTGGTGGAAAGATGACAAGAAAAAACCAAATTTCTGCAGAGAATTTTGCCTCCAGTCTTAGATACAACTAGGCCTCCATGACCATAACCGGGATTGAATTAGGGTCTCGTCTGTTAGAATGCGGAGTCTAAACACAGAGCTTCGACAGCAACCGCGTAATCCTCTGGTTTCATTCGACGTTAAGGAGCCTATATTTGATACAGCAACGTTGAAAAGGCTACAAGCCAGTCGCCATACCAGTGGGCTCCTCGTTGATTGTGGACGCAGCAAGCTTATCGTCATGACTATGATTAAACTGTCTGTAGAAGTAGCACCTGTTACATCTGTTTGAGGACCGCGTAGCTGAGATCTCCCTTGAGGCACATGGCAACGGCTGCACAACTGGTTACATAACGAAAGATATTACGTTAGCCCTTGACACACAAGAAGTGTGTGGGGTCGGCTTTCGAAATCTCAGTTATAGTTATCAGTGTCATTAAGCCTCATTTTATTCGACCTAGGCTTACATCAAAATTGTACAGTGAAGCAGTTGTTTATGTTGCAGGTCACACCTGATGGCCATAACAGGAGTTTTACGCTTATAGCATTCGTATCGTACTTTATATATGAGCGGAAAGATTTGGCGCAAGGAATACACACTTTTTGGAGTGCGTTATTTGCTGTTTTGCGCACTTCGTTGGTCTAAATGACCCTTTATTGTACATGTGTATGTATTCTTGCAAAAC